CCCTTTCCAACCCACTCTCCCTCTACCCTCCCAGTATTGCCACTCACACCACTGGTCCTGAAGGGATCATCCGCCCTGGATTCCCTGTGTTTCCAGTTCCAATCTGTACCAGTGCACATCCTCTGATCTAGCCAGACTTGCAAGGTAGAATTCAGATCATGAGAGTGGGGGGGATAATTTCTAGTTTATTACTCTTTAGTTTAGTAGTGTGTGAAAATTGCATTAAAAATATAAAAAACATTGAAAATTTTTCTAAAGTTTCGTTGAAAGTGAGAGGAGAGGAGGGTTAAAGGTTATGAAAATTAAAACTTATTTCTACTTTAGGAGCCCAAAATTTAGTAGTGGACACTCACAGCAAATTTCCACCCAAAAAATAAATGGAAGTGATAAGCTTGACTCACCAGATGAGCCATGATGCTCAATTTGTGCAGTGAGGGCTGCCGGTTGAATAGCACCACATCCCCATCAATGAGGTGTCTCTCAACGATGTCGCCATACTTGAGCTCCTGGGCCATCTTTTCTCGATTTCCATATTTCAAAAACCTTAATGTACAACAATAAATACAGTCTCTGAAAGCACAGTTCATTCACCAAATCCTCTCTCTTCATATCAGAGTGCAGTTTCTTATAGGAACATATTTTAACAAATCTAAGATGCCTCCATTTATAAGACCCATTACCTACTATGGTGTAGTGGAAATTCATTGGGCTGTGAACCGCACGGTTGGGAAGTTCGAAAGCACTAGCAGCTCCATGAGAGACAGTCTGGCTTTCTACTCCCATAAACAGTTACAGTCTCAGAAGCCCACAGGGGGCTGCTATGAGTCAGCATTGACTCAAAAGCAATGAGATCATTACTTTGTGCGCCACCAACATAGAAGAAAAACTGAATTAAACTAGAGTACACAACGAACGATGAGTTACATACTGCTTTTCAAAGCATCCAAAAGTTGAATAAAATGTCTTAGAATTAATGAAATACAGGAATGAATCAACTTCTTCCACCCACTGATAAAATTTTACTTCAAAAAAGTGGAGAAGAGTGTGGAAGTTTCATAATCTCATGTCAAGTTGAAGATATATAAAAGTGTAGGGGTGGAGGTTAGATTGTCTATCAGGTCGTAGCCTAATAACCTCACTTGGAGGGGAGACCGGGATAAATGGCTCTCTGGAGACTGGTCGGTCGGCCTCTCTCTCTCTCTCTCTCTCTCTCTCTCTCTGCCTTCACCTGCCTGTTTTCTGACCAGAAGAGCTGCTGGAGCCCTGAGATGTTTTCCACCAACTTTGGATCCACATGACTTTGCACCCACCAGTCTGCTATCTCCCTGCATGCTGCATCATTGCATGTGGGTATGTGAGTCTGAAGAGGGGCTTATGAACCAGTATTGGACTTATGGACTTGAGTGGACCTGCCTGGGATCCTTTTTTGATATATAATCACTCCTTGATATAAAGCTCTTCCTTACACATATATGAGTGTCACTGGATTTGTTTCTCTAGTTGGCCCAGCTTAACACAAAGATGACTTTTCCTAGAATACTGAAGTCATCGTTGAAAAACCAGTAAACACAAAAAAAATATCAGTTTTCATATCCCAATCTGCTCTACCCATCCAGAGGCATTAACATTAAACAGAACTGCGCAAATGATCATGCTATCTGTTTTCAATATTCAATGAGGAACGACATTCAGAAGGACTCATTGTAATTGAAGCAGATATTTTACAGATGCCAAACAGAATCACACAAATGCTTCTCAGACTGTATTCTGTGGGTAAACATGGCAACAGCGCACTAGATGAAGAGCATTACCTTTTCATCTGCATATGTCTCTGCTGAATGAAATTTGCTCCTGGGTGAACTTCAGGGCCATTTCGAACTAACTTCCTTAAGAAATTGATGTTTGCTTTGTTCACCTGTAAGGCCACAATACAAATATAATGAAATACTATACAATTTCTATAAGCTAGCATAGGGCATACACACACACACACACACACACACACACACACACACACACAGCACACGCCATGGGGGCTTCAAAAAGGATCCACTCAATAGTGGTCAGAAGTATGGTCACTAGGGTTGCAGCCCACACATGCACAGTTTTTCCAACTGAAGCACGATCCTTCATGTCGCTGTGCTCAGTAGATGGCTGCAGACAAGGTCTCTCATTAATGTACGTGAAAAAACTCATAAGCAGGGTGCAAGGTCCAATTGACATAATGCCTTCCAAAAGGATCTACCGCTAAATCAAAGGCAGAGGGGCTATGGAGACTGTTTTGGCGCCCCAAAGGGATAATCTTGGTAGATTTTTGTAACGGACACAGGACAACCACGGGAGCTTAGAAGTAGTAGGTGTTTTTTGTTTTAAGCAGTAGTTCTAAAAGAATTAAAAATTGCACAGGCAAGAGAAAGGCCAGAAAAATTGCGCTGAGGAATTTATTTCCCATCACAACAGCGCATCTGCTCCTTCTCGAACGATAACCAGGAGAATTGTCCTAGAAGAAATTCTCTGAAAAACCTGACTCCAAAAAAAGGAAAAAAGAAAAACCTTACTGCACGCACCCTACAGGCCTGACAGTGCCTCTCTGAGATTTCTTTTTGCTCCCCAAACTCAAAAAAACATTTCAAAGGAGCATGATTTGAGTCCCTGGAATGTCCAAACTTCCATTTCGACATGATATAAATTGAAGAGCACAAACTCTCAGGAGAGGGTTTGAGAGGACACATTACGTATACACCTAGAAGATAAAGACAAATATTTTCTCAGGAAATTCTCCTAGGAGAGAACATAGCTGGCACTGTGTTCATAAACGAAAACTTCTGACCCCGTGTCTACCCCACCTTCCTCGGTGACCCAGGCCACATGTTACAGACTAGTGGGCATTTCGACTCTGTCCTTTTGAGGTGTACAACATCCTTCACAGGCCACACCAGGAGGTTTCAAGGTTGAAACCACACTAAGTGAACTGGACTCTACCTCAAACTCACCTGCAGTAGATTTAAAGAACTGACCTATTCCCTTGGACATAAGGTCAAAGGCCCTAGTGTAACGAGCACAGACGACTGCCAGTCCAAGGTTATACAACCGGTGGTCACTGGACTTTGGATCTCTTGTTTTGAGTGACCCAGTGAATGATGGCTGGGGACTAACATATAGTTACTATTTTAATGGCTTAGCCTTTATCAGTATTAGTGAAAGGTTTGCCCTATCATCAAGCCTCATTGTTTGTATAAATAGTACCCAGTCACTTAAACATTTAATCTATACAAATCAACTATGCATGTATTGTGGTCTGAAAAGCCAAACTATAAATACAAAATACTTTAGCATTTGATCTCCCCTTCTGTTCAATTTTTAAATTTAAGTTTTTCATATTTTTTAAAATTTTCTTCCTTTTTAATTGAAGTTTTTCCATTTTGCTTTGCCATTGTTGTTTTTTTGTTTGCTTTCTTATTTATATTTCGCACAATTTTCTATACCTGAAATCCAGGACCATTAAATCTATAGATTATAACTGGACGAAAAATTATACAGAGGCATGGCAGGGGGTTGGGAGGAAATGGAGAGCTAAGTATGAGAAGAAAATGTTTTGAAATTAATTTTGGTGATGACTGCATAACTCTTAAATGATTAAATTATACAGTATATGGATTATATGCCAATAAAACTATTTAAGAGAAAATTCAACCCTGATGTATAAAATTGCTGAAAATGGCACTCTCTCACACACACACACACACACACACACACACACACGACACTGAAGGTTCCATGGATGACTGGGGACTTTCCCATCTCCACTGTTTGGAACATCAAAATGTACCGTGAAAGACAATTCCAGGGAGAAAGTGAACGGCATGTACCTTTTCAGGAAAAGTTAGAATTTTGGCCACGTGAACTGGCACAGCTACCTCATCGATTCGGAGGTTTGGGTCAGGTGAGATAACTGTTCGGCCAGAAAAATCCACTCTCTTTCCTGATAGATTGCCTCTAAAGCGACCTACATAAAAACACATCAAGAAGTCAATGGCACGGTACATGCTGTTGAAATTATTTAAAGAATAGATTTTTTTTTTTAAATCTCCACTCTCCAATGATATGAGCTTGACATATGGTCCCAACACGTTACCAAAGACAGCAGAGTGTGCCCTCACATTCTGTCCGAGCGTACCTTGCTTTCCCTTCAGGCGCTGCACGAAGCCTCTGGTCCATTTCTTGGGCGCCATGTTGAGGGGAATGCCCGAGAGCTCACTGTTAATATAGAGGGCACACTGCAGCTGCAGGAAGTCCCAGTCCTCCATGATCATTTGAGTCTTGGCTCCAGATATCCGATGCTGAAAACGAGCAGAAAAGGAAATCAGGAATAAGATTGTTTCTATGATCAGGTGGATTTTGGTGCCTTTAAAATTGTCTTTTAAGTATTTATTTTGTTGCTCTTGATGAGAATACACGTAGCAAAAGCACACTAGTTTCTCCATGCACAATTCAGCGACAACGACTACTTTTTCTGCATTGCTCCTCCCTCATTAACATACCCATACTGCCCACTACGTTTCCGATCGACTCTGACTTTGCTGCTGTCAGTGTAACGCTATGGAGACATACTGAAAGAGCGCACAGCTCACAGCAGGCACTCTGCTAAGCTAACTACCGTTCTGTTTTAAGGAGACTTCATGGTATGTTTTCGGTTTCAAGTGTGAAGATTATCTCAGGACAATAAACAGTTTCAAGGGTTTCCCCAGCCTCTATGGAGCTAGATATTCTGCAGTGCGTGGAAATTTGTCATCCCATTATTTATTTTTCCCCTTTTGATTAAGATTTTCCTGGAGAATTTTTTATCAAAATGTCAAAAAATTTTTTTACTGGAATTTTTTTTTTAAAGATATTCTGTGAATCATAGTCTTGGAAACACTAATGGAAAGCACTGACCTTTTTAATGACATCATTTAGGAAAATTATTTCTGTCAATTTCATCGTCAGATCATCTTCATTGGTGCCAGATTTCAAGTCGCTCACAACAGAGGGTCTGATACACAAAGGGGGCACCAGAAGTCGGGTGAGAATCAAATCGGAGGGCTTTCCCGCCTCCGGGTTCATCAGAAGTAGAGGGACATCTTCGGCGGGAATTCGTTTAAATAAATTCAGAACTACTAAGGGATTCAGGTTTTCCTAAAAAAAGAAAGAATGGAGTTATTATATTAATTTTTTACAGCTTCTACAAGGGTTGACATCTTTATATTTTCTAACCTGTTGTTTAATTTAAAACGAGTACAAGCTCAGAAATTTCTGTTGATACTATACTGCATTGCAAGAAACCTAAAAATGTTATTGACCCCAAAAAATGTTATTGACCCTTATTCCAACTATTTAAGACAATGATTTCATTTCTCATAATTATTGCAAAGGGGATAATTTAGAAACGATCATGAAGATTTAGCTACAAAATATTCACTAAAGTCATTTTTAATTGTGAAAAATTGGAAAGAACCTGATAGACTACAGGCTAAATAAGTCATGGGAGATCTATACATGGAGAATTATGAAGCAACTGAAAAATGGCACCACAGATATGTAGATATTAACATAGCTAAATTTTACAAAATATTGGCACGTGAAACAAACAGCAGGTGTGCACTACCTCATGTGGGGGACGCACATCTACACAGAGAAAAAGAAATGGAAAGGGTCACCGAGGTATTAACAGGCCTGTCGATAATTGAGTAGAACTCTAATCGTTTTACTCCTATTCTACAAGATTTTTCTGTAATGAGCAAATATTATCTTTGTAATACCTCCATTTAATACATGCCGTGCTGCAACCGTTCAATCAAATTATAGGAATTATGTATACTTTCAGAGATCTGAAGACCTAATAGTCTGCTGTGTCTTCATGCCTGTTTATTAGACTTTCCTGGGGTCAACCTAAGATTATGGGACAGAAAGTGTACTGCATGAGCAGAATTTTATGTGTTTAGACCAATGTAGCGAGCACAAGTTGCTGGGCCCACTCACAGGGCTGCAGCTGGGGAACATCTACCCACAGCTTGCACTCAAGGTCCTCGGCCAGACAATTCACTTCCAGTGACCTGTCTTCCAGGCGCAGGACTTCCCTATCACTTGGGAGAATTCAGCATCCACCTAGAACGATACTCGTAAAGGGGCCCTGGTGGCATAGTGGGTTACGGGTTGGGTTGCTAGCTGCACAATCAACAGTTTGAAACCACAGGAGAACAATGAGGATTTTTACTCCCATACAGGTTATTTTCAGAAACCCACAGGCGCAGTTCTACTCTGTCCTGTAAGGTCACGATGAGTCAGAATTGACTTGATGGTAGTGAGTCTGGCTTCGTTTGGTATTCGAATTCCAGGGACCACACAAAAACCAGGGTACCATTCAGTACTAGACAAGAATATCAAGGAAGTTCTGAGGACACGAGGATTGGCCAGACTATAGAAGTCATCTTGTCCCATGCAGCACTATCAAGTTGATCCCAACTCACAAAGACCCTTGAGGACAGGGTAGAACTTGCAGCTGTCTAACACTGTAACTCTTTTGGGGAGTAGAAAGCCTCATCTTTCTTCAAAGGAGTGGCTGGTGGTTTTTTAATGCCAACCTTACAGTTAGCAGCCCAATGCATAATCCACTATGCTACCAAGGCTCCTAACGATCTCCTAGCAAGAGTTAAAGGAGGAAAGGATTGCTTAATATGTCGAAGACAACTCCAGAGTGGCAGAACTGCCAGAACAAGAGGTCCATGAAAGAGGTTACTGATACAGTTACACATTAGAAGACAGAAACACAGGGCTGTGGACAGATAGAACAGGTGGCCTGTTTGCCCAAGGAGGAATATTATAATTGGGGCACTCTGGCAATGGGACATGAACACAACCATGGCTGGAAGGGGCACTGGTAACTCAGTCTGCTGAGGACACTGTGGCACAGTAAGAGGCATTTCTATCTGGTGAGGGAGGCAAGACTCATGATCATATATCTGTAAATTCACAAACCTCTTGTATTAAAATTAGGTGTGAGTAGACATTAGTCCTTAGGGGACAGAGCTTAGTTTCTGTCCAACTGTTAAAGAGGATCTGTGCAGAATCAGTGGGGGAAAAAAAAGAAAAAGGAAAAAACAACCCCTGGTTTGGGTCTCTTCCAATTCAGGCCTTGTGTGCTGCCAATAAAGGCATGGAGTCCCAAGGGCAAAAAACAAAACCAGGCAGGTGAATGACACACTCCCTTTTCACATCTGGGCTGTAGGACTCTTGAGAGCATATTCACGGTGCAAATCCTGGTAATCCCCTAAATATCAGTTGGAAGTTAGGTACTCAGAAGTCATATCGCTTATTAGTATCATATTTTATCTACTCTACATAGTACTATAAAGGTTAAACACTAATCAAATCCTGAGCAAGAAAAACACAATACTTCCTATAATTCTGTTAGTTAAATTTAGTCAATTAAAGTAAGCAAATGGCTGTAAGGGAATCAACTAGATCTTTTTGTACCTAGTCATCTATTCAGAGAACAGGATATGTCAGTTCATGCTCTATACAATTAATTTCTCACATTTTGTATCATGAAAATATATCACGTTACCTAGAGGGCTGAATATGTGCTGTGAAGCTTTGTTGTTGTTAAGTGCCATGAAATCAGCGTGGACTCACAGCAGGCCTGTGTACCTACAACAGACCAAACCACCACTGCTCCTGCGTCCTCCTACAGCCTGTTGTTGCAGCCCCCCTGACAGGCATCTTGTGGAACGTCTTCCTCTTGCATTATCCTGCATCTATCTCTACTTTACTAAGCATGATGTCCTTCCCCAAGGAAACTGTTAAACTTAATACCAAAGATTGGTAACACATAATATTCGCTCATGTAAATTCTTAGTCTGACTGCTAACTTAAATAAACGTTTAGGCTAACATAATAGAATTTTCATTTTGGAAAAAGGTGATGGAGACATGTGTATGTAAGTGAGTATGAGTAAATGAGTGTGTGTACACATGTGTGAGAGAAATATAGATATATGGATGTTATGGGTTGAACTGTGTCCTCCTAAAACAAGTGCTGTAATCCTAACCCCTTGTACTTGTGGCTATTATTTTTTTTGGAATAAGACATCCTCCACTATGTTAAGGCGGTTGTATCAGGTTAGGTGTGCCATAACTGTGATTTCTAATAAAAGCAGATAAAACACAAGGACAAAACGTCAATTCCTACTCCAAGCAACATGTGCCCGTCGACCACCTGCTTGTGGTGCTTATGTGAGGTAGGCATGCAACTCCAGGCTCACCTGGGCCCTGCCCAGAAGGGACTCCACTTCTTTATTATGTTCTATGGCTGTTTCAAAAGACTGAAGGAAATTTGACACAATTGGATCCACCACTTTTTTGTTGGTTTTGTATTTCTCATGAATAATCTTCAGTAATCCACACTTCTTTACAGTACCTAAAACAGTTAATTTATATAGAAATAAAGAAAATTAGGCTTCGAAATTAGGTTCTTAAGTTGGATGGAAGTGGTAATCTGGTAAGTGAAATAAATGAAAACGCAACAGCCATGAAAGATGAGCGGTGCGGCTGTTAGTAAATAGCATGTCAACAGTAAAGTGGGGGAAGGGAGACGTCGGGCCGCGTAGATATGATAAAATAGTAACAATTTATAAATTATCAAGGGTTCATGAGGGAAGGAGGGAGGGACGAATGGAAAAAAATGAAAAATGAGGCGCTGATTCCAAGAGCCCAAGTGGAGAGCAAATGTTTTGAGAATGCTGAGGGCAGCGAATGTACAAATGTGCTTTACACAATTGATGTATGTATGGATTGTGATAAGAGTTGTATGAACCTGATACAAATTCTACCTGGCTAGCTAGACCAGAGGATGTACACTGGTACAGATAGGAACTGGAAACACAGGGAATCGAGGGGGGATGATCCCTTCAGGACCAGTGGTCTGAGTGGCGATACTGGGAGGGCAGAGGGAGAGTGGGTAGGAAAGAGGGAACCGATTACAAGGATCAACATGTGACCACCTCCCTGGGGGACGGACAACAGAGGGGTGGGTGAAAGGAGATGTCAGACAGGGCAGGATATGACAAAATAAACAATCTATAAATTATCAAGGGCTCCTGAGGGAGGGGGGAACAGGAGGGAGGGGAAAAATGAGGACCTAATGCCGGGGGCTTAAGTGGAGGGGAAATGTTTTAAGAATGATGAGGGCAATGAATGTACGAATGCGCTTTACACAATTGATGTATGTATAGAATGTGATGGGAGTGATATGAGCCCCTAATAAAATGATTTAAAAACAAAACTAATCCTATAAAAAAAAATTTTTTTAAAAGAGCATGTCAGCTGCCAGGCTCTGCAGCCTAATGTACAGGGAGAAAAGCCATCCAGAAAGGGCTGGCGACGAATAAAGCACCCAGAAGAGCGTGGTGCAAGGGTCGCCGTGCAGCCTTGTATGTCCTGCTCACCATTGAAAGCACCACAGTGATGGCAAATGTTTTTTTTCCGACACTTCTCAGAAATTTTCTTCTTCAGGCCTCGCTTCTGAAGGTAGGTCAGGCCAGGCCTCTTTAAATAATCCAGAAACTGCTTTTTTTCTTCCAGGGCCAGCATAATGTGGCAGCAAGTTTTACAGATCATCTTTTAAAAATTAAACAGAACACACGAAAGGATGAGTGATGAGGAAACATTATTTTCTTTGTAAAATGCCACCCTCCCAACAGTCCAGGATACTAAATGGCAGCAGTCATGCAAGAGGTAACCAATGTTCAGTATAGCATTAATAGTAGTCGTATTTGGTGGAAGGAGTTTTTTTAACTCATGCTGTTCTGTATTGTTGTCGTTTTTTCCCCAATGTATATGAATCATTTTCTACAAGGGAGAAAAATAATTAAGGAATAAATACTCTTTCAACACCTTAATATAATGCAAGACAAACATATTCTATATTTAGTATCAGAATCTCCGCCAGTTGATCCCTTCTCTATCTCTTACAATTCTAAGCTCACTCTGATGACCTCAGATTGGTTACTCTAGAATTTATGCCTTGGAAATCTACATGCGGGCCCTTACCTGTAAAATGCCTATGACCCCTTACCTGTAAAATGCCTATGACGGCTCTGAAGTATCCCACATGAAAACAAGGCAATTCCAGGTCAACATATCCATAGTGGCCCAGGCAGTCAGCCAAGTTTTTCCCACAGGTTTCACAAGGACGGTCCTTCTCACTTGTACCCTTTGAACAAAAGCACATCCAATAATCAATGGGGACCAGTGGCAAGGAAAGTGGGGCCAGTTCTCACATTTGTCAGAATGGTTCAGAATTAACTATTCACATTCAGCAAAATTAATGGTGCCGGAGTGCCTGACAGGGTCTGAGCCACACAGAGGGGAATGAGGGGGAGGAAAACCAGCCCTCTTCAGTTTTATCCGAAGTCAAAACACAGGAGGGGGCGAGGGGTGGCAGAAGGGTCTTACCATCCTATGGTCCAATACCCCATACGGCAGAGGAGCATGGTTGTTGTCCTGGCTATACAAATTCTTACTCACAACCTGGATATGTGCCTGTTGGCGCATTTCCTCAGGGGACTTCATGCCAAAACAGATGTGGCTTCTGGAACAGAAACAGGAGAGTAATTACAGCAAAACCATTCCCAATATCTACTTCTCGTTATATACAAAAATTAACTCAAAATGGATCTATTCAAATGGACCTAAATAAAACTTCAATAAAGAGATAGTGGTTAATCGCCAGGACCTTAGATTTCACAA